GCAGAAATACCGGAATAATTTATGTATATTTTTTAAAATTATAATTTAGCTTGTTAATTATTTTTAAATATTTATCTTTATTTAAAAGCGGTTATTTTAATATGAAATGCCGAAATGGGTTATGTGATAAAGATATTGTATTTATATTAACTGTATAGCTTTATTATATAAATATTTGTAACCAGTAAACCAAATTGTAATTGATCTATACCATTTGGTCCTTATTAATATATAATATATAATAACTGAAACTAAATTATAAAAGCAAATATGATCTCAATTGTTTTTGTTTGAATAATATTAATAATATTCTAGGGGCTTACTTATTAAAATAAAATTTTTTTTTCCAATTAGCATATTTAATTTATTGACATTAATAGTTCAAGTAGGATTAATAATTAAATATTTCGAATGCCTATATGTAAATGAAATATCGAATAAAAGGACGATAATTTATGATATTTGCTACGATGTTTTTTGTCCTTAAAATAACAAGGAAAACAATTTTAAAGTTATATTAATAATTTAACATTGCCACGAGCTTTTCAAAGAAACGATACTTATTTGAATCGTTTTTGTAAAGTGGTATTTCTGAAATTTTTTGTTTGAAATAAAAAATGTCTGTGAACATTATTATGACGACAAACTATATGCGGTGTAGAGCAAAGATAATTAAATATTTATCTAGATAAAGATAATATTTCAGTAAACTACCAAGATAAAGATACAGATAAAAGATAATTGAAATTTATCTAGATAATTAAAAAGATAATTGTTTCTTCTTTTTCACATTTATAACTACACATATCAATACAATACTTTCAAAGTTTTAACCTTATTAATTATTATACCTTAGATTAAATACCAAAACAAAAATATTTGTAAAATATAAAATTGCCACTTCTTAGAATGAAAGCATATAAGTAATGAGATTAATAGATCATTAAACATAAATCATAAATGTGATGGTTAAAATTGTTATTGCATATTTTGGCTAATGTAGAAGATAGAAAAAGTTTCCTTTTCATTAGAATATTATATCAAAAGTTTCATTATACAGTAGTACCTAATGCTTCAGAGCATAATGAGTTATGGCTAGGCAATTGGAGCACAAGACACAAGTTCTAAGAGTAGGTATAATCAATGATAATAATATAAATACCAGATATTTTTAGAAATGTGTACTAAACAAATAATTTTATTGTAAATAATTGTACTGTACACTTGTCAGTTATACCAATGGAACTATTGGCTACCAAAAAAAAAATATTTTATTGAAATATTTTTATCTAGATAATTTAATTAAGATGACGAGATTATTCATCTAAGATGATACATCATATAAACATTTTTAAAATTATCTAGATGAAGATAGTTAATTATTTATCTAGATAATTCATATAGATAAATTTATCCTATTATGCTCAACACTGACTTTATGGAGCGACTATAGGTACACGTGTCTAGGTACTTCAATTTATAGTTAATCATCATAAAGTTATAAACATTTAAATGTATTAGAGTACGGTGATAAGAGCAGGTGTCGTTAGGAATAAATAATCAGATACTCTGTAAGCTGTCGTTAATCTACTCATTTGAAATTTAAATACAAATAAATAATAATAGGTAGGTGTATCGTGTATGAAAATATATCGAAAGGAAAAAAAAGAAAGGTTCTTTAACATTGAATATCATTATTTAGGAAATTAAACCTAGTATTAGCTAGAACCTTTTAAGACTAAATACACAATTTTGAAAGAAAAAGTTTTATCTCATAATGATACAAAATTATTTAGAATGAAAATGTTCTATAATGTGATGCTGCATCCAAAATGGTAGGTACAATGTAATTGTTTTATAAACTATTTTTTATAAGAATCAGCAAATAATATATCCTTATCATTTAATAAATTATCATGATAAATTTATTTTTGTAACATATTTCTAATTACGAATTCATTTCTAAATAACGTTTCAGCTAATATTAGCCTATTTGGTTCTATTTTAGACGATTTGTCTATTTGGTATATTAGCCTATTCATGCTTACTGATTTTAGGTTTATTAAAATAATATAGATGTATATGTATAGTCTTCAATACTCGATGTTATTCACAGTAGTTGTATCGTTATATTACAATTTTAAGCTTCTCTAAAATAAAATTAAAATTAATTTTAGAAAAAGGAATAAAGAATTATTGAACATTACCTACTTAATTTTTGTCTAAATCGATTAAAACAAATTTGTTTCAACTAATACTAACTTTTTATAAGTAGTGCAAAAAAAAAGTTCTATAAAAAAGAGATCATTTCATTCATACATCTATCAAGAGAAATATTTTTATGTTTTTATTTTTGTCCAATATGTTAATAAGTAGGTAGACATTTCTACATCAGATGACGTATACATCAGTCAGTGGAGTATTTACGGGGGGGAGGGGGATTTTTTGTAAAGTTAAGTTTTCTCATTTTCTGTAATTCACAATATGATATTACTTTTAAGTATGTCTGTTTTCTGAATGTTCTAGCCGTGGTAATTTTACCTCTCTGATATATATACTATACGCCACTAGTCGTTCGCTTCATATATGTGGCATATATATCGGACAACAAAAACATATACGGGGGATGAGGTGGCCGAGCGGTCTAACGCGTCGGCTGCGGCGCTGCCGGTCGCGGTTTCGATTCTCGACCACCGGGCGGCATTTTTCTCCGGGCAAGTCACGGTGTCCGGAGAACAAGTGCCGCCATCCCCCACTCCAGGGCATGGCAGAAACCTACGGGTGCCCCATTCGAAATTCTACCAAAAATACACCCACGTGTAACACACCTATCGTTCCAAAAACCTACTGTACCACTCCCCTCCCAATGGCCTATGTTGCAGCGGGATAATTAATAAAAAAAAAAAAAAAACATATACCTCTATGGTAGTATGGTGTAAGTACTGTATTTTTTTACTTTTCTGCGAATTATTTTTCATGCAAGAGTGTTTATAATAAACGCGATAAACAGTTGTTAAATAAAACAAAATTACCACGAAAACTGTAGATTTACCATTTACCATTATTTTTAGTAGTTACTGATGTGTAGTTATTGACTTTAAAATGTTTTATTCCCCTCTGGGTTACACATGGTTTAGATATTTGTTATAAAGAGTTTATCCAAAAATTCATGAACTCTCGAAAATATTTTGTACTTTCCCTGTATCAACTGCTACACCTGAACGAAGTTTTTCAAGTTTTTATTAAGTATTAAGTCTTACCTAATAAATAGTATGACAAAATGTAAATATTTTATCAATTTCCTATCTAATATTGAATAATAACTATAAATTAAGTAGTAATTATTATATACTTTGTTTATTAGAACCGATTAGGGCTAACCTTACCTAACCTAACCGACTAGGGCCCGATTTACAATCATGGTTTAAACCTCGGCTACACTTAACCCACTGATTTTACAGGACGAATTCCACGGTTCAACCTGTACGGGCCCTTATTCCTTAATTTGTTGGCTTTATTGACATGTCACCGGTCAATACAATAATAATACTAGATGAGGTAATTGATGAACTGAGCATTCAAAAAATGAGAACACTGGATTTTGTATTACAACTATTTTTTTTGTTTATTGTATTAAACACGGGATTGGCGCCAGTATGAATTCATAATAAATGCTATTAAGTATTAGGTACCGTACAGTTTGTGTTAATTGTTATTTCGCCTTGATCCACACTTATACTCCAATAGGTAACAAGTTAGGGGATTTCAAAAGTGTATATTATGTACGTATTGTAGGTGTATTATTAATTATTATAATATATTTCATCCCGCCCTAGCGAAATTCCTAAATACGCCACTGAGTCATCAGTAGAACTTAACGCGGATATATTATTTTCAATTATAAATATTGAAATACATTTTTCGTAAACCAAAAAAAGATAAAATATATTGCGGGATGTATAAATCACTCTCGCGGACGCTTGTGATTATTATCATAAAGTCATACGATAGAAACGCTTTATATTCTAAGCCAGCATAATATTATTATAACATGTGTATGTTACCGTCAATGTCGTAAATTCAGGTAATGATGATATTGACTAGCCAATTAATATAATGCCTAGGTAACTTGGTCATTATCTATAATCAACATATATTTGTAACATTGACTTGATAAATCAGACGATGTTATAATTTGATGGATTCACTAGTTATTATAACATATCCTATCGTAGTGTAGTCAATGTTATCTTTTATCGTTTTAACTTTAAAAACCCACGTTAAGATTAGGTATCTGTTTTGTAACGAATAATAATAGGTATCTTTTATATAGTATTAATACTCACGGCAACTAACCTATAATATAAGTACTGTTACAGTCTACGTTGTACTTTCGTATAATATAGTTTATAGTTTCGTATAGTTTTTCGTTTCGAAGTGTTGAATTGTTTTATTAAAAAAATGAATTCAAATGAAATGCGTCAAAAATTTTACAACGCATTATCTGATTTATTGAAAAATAAACGTGAAGATAATATATCATTTTTAAACAAAGAGGAATATATATTTCTTATATTTTTTTTTTTCATTGTTTTTTATTAAATAGTAAATGATATAATATATTATATCTAAAATTATCAATGGCTACATAGTTTTAGTCAATAATGACAATGACTGCTCAATCATAGAAATTATGTATTAATATTAAATTTGTTCTATTATTGTCTATCTTAGTTAGGTATTCTCTAAAATGACTAGCCAATAATATCAATGCCTATGTAAAACAGTCAGTGTTAACATAGACTAGTCATTTTTAACAATACCTAATTATCATCATTGGCGGTAACATGTACATCATATAAGTAGGTACGGTGTTTTTCTTTTACCTACCTAATCCCGCAGAGTGCTTTGAGAATTAAATCACTTTATTATTAGGTACGCGATAACATCTAGGCGCGTATTATGATAATAATAATATTATTATTGTTAGAAAAACTCACAGCAGTGCTGCGTACACGCAACATCTAGGTTTCAGGCACGGTGGAGTGTGATCGGTTTCGTGTTTCGACAGCGAAATGTACCCGGAACCTGATACTGGTGTGACGTCATCGGTATTGGTTAGCGGCGTGCATTCGGTCGCCATCGGTGTGGAGTGTCCTGCTGAGAAAAAAAAAGAAAACAATATTACATAGGTTTTTTGTAAAAAAAAAAATAAAAAAATAAATATTGGACGATTTTGTTCATAACACTATCCGTTGTCGAAGAATAAAACAGGGATGACTGGGCGATTTAATCACCCTGTACACTATGGTGAAAACGCGTGCCACCGACTGAATCACCGTGAGTCCACCGTGAGCGGCGCGCAAAACTTGGCAAAATATCTAAGACGTCTCATAGGTTTATTTCAAGTTTCAAAATAAATGGACGAAATATTTAATTTATTATAATAAATTATTATTATATTTAATATTAAATTATCGTTGCAAGTGTTGGGAGTGTGATTAATTTTTTTTTTGAACTACGTCATAATAATTTAATAAAATATGTGAAATATCGCCCGCCATAAGCCATATTCCGTGCCACAGGTATGAGCACACGGAAATATTTTAAAAACGTATAAAAAGCTTTCTGATTATGTAATAGTTATTGGCTTATAAATCGAAATGGTTAAAACATCATATGGATATAAAATATTATAAAATAAACCATTAATAAACAAAATACTATCTACGTGTAAAATAAATATTATCCTTTCGAACGTTTCAAATAAATACGTTTCATTATAAAATGAGTTTGAAGACTCCATAGGTCCAAAATATTCTAAATTAGGGTTAAAATCAAAAAAGTGTACCCAGGGGCGGACTGAGAGTACTTCCGCCCGGGTGGAGAAGATTTGAGCGGCCCACAATTTATTTTTGTATAATCAAAAAATTTTCAGCTCGCTTATCATAGGCTAAAATGTTGGGAGTGCTAAGGGTGTTTAGCTTCGCCCATTTATTCTAGGAATAAATAATATCACATAATTCATAATATTATATTATATCATTTTTAATACTTAAAATCTTTTATATAATTTCTTTACGTCTATATTTAGATATTACTGAGACAAAAAATGTATTACTTACTTTAAATTTAAATTTAAAATTATAAATTCAACATTTGAAGCTTAATATATACACAACTACACAAGTTACACATGGGTACGCCATTTTTTGATTTTTAACTTCACTTGCTCTCTATTCAGTCGTTCAATGTTTTCAATTAAATAACGAATAACCATTGAGCATTGACGACAAAGATAGATAATACAGTATAAATTATATAAACAAAACAATATTGGTCGAAGGTCGGTTGTCGGACGACAGGCGGCGGCCTACGGGATTTCGTTATTTCTAATTACAGCTCATGACTTCTTATAATAATATTATGGTGGGGTGCGTAGGGAAAACTATTTTCATTATATGCTGATAAGCTATGTAGAAATATTGGTGCCCCAGGATTGTGTATTTTGTGTGTTATTATCTATTATTGTTAATTTAGAAATCGAATATAAAATTATAATATAATATATATTTTTATTAAAAGTGCACCATAACGAAGGGGCCTCCCACGACAGCGGCCCCGGTGGATTTCTCCCACTCTCCACCTGGGCCAGTCCGCCACTGTATGTACCTGACACGTAGATTTTAGGTAGGTATACAGAGAAACGATTTTATAGCTGCAGAATAAAATATAATCTTTGTGTAAGACCACTATAATAATATATCAAAAGACAAACAAATCAAACGACTACTACATCTCGAGCTTCAACGACCAGTGTTCGGACTTATCTAGATAAATAATTTATCTAGATATTTTTTTGCTCATCTTTTATCTTATCTAGATAAATAGTTACAAGATATCTAAACGGTCATCTTAGATATTTTTTTACTAATCTAAATGAATTCATCTAGATAGATTTTTTATTGATAAAAATCGCGAAATTTTTTATTTTTATTAATTTTAACGGTTTATTTGTTTTTCATTAACAAATAATAATAATTTTTACATAATTATAATAAAAAATACATGAAACATTTAATCTGGGTTGTGCTATATCATACTATAATTATTAAAGTTATTTAATTATGGTATAATATAATATAGCTAGGTATTAGCTATAATTCTGTAGACTGTATGGCAACAGTAAATAGAATAATAAAATAAAAACTATATTGTTTGGTCAGATTATTTTAAATCCATTAAAAAAAAAATTGTATCTTTTTTATATCTAGATAAAAAAGTATTTATCTTTATCTTTATCTAGATAAATATGAGTTAAGTTATCTTTTATCTCTATCTAGATACATTTGAGTTGCATTATCTTTATCTTTATCTAGATACAAAAATACTTATCTAATCCGAACACTGTCAACGACTGCACTATACTGTGCGCAATACAATATTAAGTAGGTACAATAAAACGTCGAGTTATGATATTAGGTAGACTATACTGTACACGAGACGTCGCGAGTCGCGAAAACTACAAAAATTAGGCATTAACACTGAGTTATAATGGGACCGTGTGTGCGACGATTCAAATGGGAAGGGGGGGGGGGGTTGTGTCAAGTCGGAGGAGGGCGCGTGTTTGAGTAAAAAATAAGGGTGAAAAACAGCACGGGTCGATATAATTAAAGCGTTATGCGTGGTATAAACGCTGGAGAACTTAACGAATCGACAACACGGCTATTAATACGCGCGCTCGGCAGGTGGGTACGAAATAATAATATTAACGGTACATAATATTACAATAACACCGCCGCAAGCTTAAGCACATATTTATATTGTTACGCACGCACATACATGTAGGTATATATGGTGTGGACCGGTGTTGCCCTTTCCTTTAAACGAGCTTCACACACAACATACATAATATATTATATTAATAACGCGTCGTGTACACTGTATACCTAGCTTCTACACGTGTACCGCGGTTACCGACGTTTAAAAATAAAATATGTATATTATATGCCGCGTTAAATTTAGGGTCGGCGTTACAAATCCGGTGGGGGAGGCGCAGGGTCGATGCGCGTGTGTGTGCTATGGGGTGTGCGAGGGAGGTGACGGTTTTTCGGCCTTGTTGTGGCTGCTCGGGGCTGGGGCTGAGGCGCGGCGTCTTAATATGCTATATTAGCGAAATACGGGGACTTCCTGGCAAACATTAATTCGACGCCAGGCAGCTGCTGCTGCTGCTGCTGCTGCTGCTGCTGTGGTAGTGTATAATATTATGTCCTGTTTGTACAAGCGCTCGAGATATAACGACGTATATATACGCGATTTCGTGTTGTCTTAATCGACTTTATATTATTATGTTACGGTCCGACTCGAGTCCCCGACGACATTACACGTGCCATGATTTGACGACGACAAATTTCTTCCAATTTCACAACGTGACAGTATAATGCCATTTGATTACTATATTATATACATAGGTATTACTGTATTGAAAACCATATTATTAAAATGTCATGTTAAATTTCACTAGTTCAAAATTATAAAGGAGAAAAACTTATAAGTACTTCATAGCCGTCGAGTGAGAAAGTATTGCGTACCTATATTTTAGGTTAGATATTATGTCATGTTATAACATATTGTGATACAGTATATAATCATACTCGATTTGAGATATTATAAGTAATTATTTACCTCGTCCGAGCAATGTGCACAGTCACCAAATCAAAGATATGAGCCCAAGCGGACGCAGACTGATTGAATATCGTTATAATTGAACTTGCAGGTGTTACAAACGTCGATGTACAGATTTCTGGATTTCTCTAATATCTGAAAATAATTTGGATTTCATTAGGACTGAACAATATGGCGTATCACTGATAAAAGGGTAACACACAGACAATATAATACGTAGATATCGAATCTAACGCATTCGAAAACAATTTTATCTTATAGCGAGCGAATTTCAATCAAGTGTTAGTGGTGTTACTATATATTATTATAACAGGTACAGACATTGTAGCGACCGCATCGACAACCTGTATGATTTCAACCCCACATAGTGGAGATTTCAAGGAAATATCGGAATCTAAAACTATCGTCTTCGAGTTTGAGAATTTCCCGCTACGCGGACTTACCTGGAAAACGAAATACGGTCGATGTGCTGCATCATCGCCCCCGATATACCGCGATCGACTGACCGGTGGAAACGTGATCGGCACCAACACCGTAGGAAACCCTTCAAATCCGAGTTCCCCTCGATCACACCTCCCTAACACTCTTGGTCACTCCCCCCCCCCCTACGGCGTGACGATCGTCGGACGAAAATCGAAAGGAATATTATAATATAAGACGTGTAGATACACGATACTGCGGATTCTACAGCACAACACGGTTACGACGATATACCGTGGTCATGGGAAACAATCTGTAGCTTAATAAAATAGCTTACTATATACACAGAGCTGTCGAACGCGTTGTCTAGCATAATATTATATTATCATAATCCATAACAATTATTATTATGTATTACCATTAAAGACGAAAACCACCACTTCTCACTCTGTATACATTATAATGTTTAAGTGACTATACGTAATAGGATGTACCGTGTGCGCGCGTGCAAAGTATTACGTAAAACGAACCGGACACCGCGAAAAAGCACCGATGACTGCAGGTGTGTGACTGGTGACTACATTTTCAAATCGATACCTCAACGTCGTCGGCCATGGATTGTAAATTTATAATAATGATTATATTATAGTGTCGTCGTCGTCGTCGTCGTCGCCGTCGTTCGTTACAAGAAAATAATATATTACTATAAAATTATACATGTATAATAGGTACCTCCTATACGTACGTCGTCGTAATGACCCCCGACGTGTATCATTAGTCATTACGCGCAGGTACCTTGGTGGAGGGGAAAACTTGTGCATAGTTAAAAATCGTACGCGATTCTAAAGGAAAAACACTTATCATTTTCGCAAAAACTTGAAGACGAATGATCGATAGAGCGCCATCAATTTAGCAAAAGACAACAACGGAGATAATTTTTGATATCGCGTATACAAAATATTATATTATAATATTATTCATAATACTGCTATAATATACCTATATATATTATTTTAAAGATGTCGTGTGAGTGTTTGA